TTGGGGTCGATTGGGTTAAGGCCTCCGGGGATGGTGTACAACAGCTCTGAACTCAGTGAACTGCTGATGGAAGCCTGGTGACTGCAAAAAATGACAATAAACAGATTCCTTGTCATGTTGTTGGCTTTGTAGCAAATATCTGTTTTCTCCTTGGGATTACGTGAACATTTGCTTGTCTTTGATTTCTGGTTGTTATTCTCAATCTTTCTTTTGTTAGAGGAGACGCTTCAAACAGCTCTGTAGAAGCCCCCGACTCTGTCCTTTGCAAGGTTTGTGTTTAGAAGTTGGCGCGGCCTCCACACATCACCTGTTAGCTGTTAGGAGTCTGATTCTGCAAACCATGACTTCATCTCCCTGAAGGAAGACAGACAGAATGCTTCAGCACAACAGATATGGTTCAGTTCAAGATGTTTGGAGGGGGAAGAAAAAAGCTGTAAGCCTTTGGTCTCTAGGTGAACTTGGAAAGTAGACCTGTCAAAGGTATTCACGTTCAGACAGCTGGTCTGGAGCTGGAAAGGCTGCCAAATTGTGCTGTTACTCAAGGCTGCGAGAATTTTGTCAAGTGGCCTTAAAACGATTGTGCTCAGTGAGGCTGGGGAACACTGGGCCCGGGGTGCCTCTGCATGGCGTGCTGTGCTAAGGGGAGAATAAGGTCGCCTGGCTGGTCCAGGCCAGCAAAAAGGATGGAGCTAGCGGCTCACTACTTGCCAGAGACTGGGCTGGGAGCCAAAGGTGCTGGGGTGTCTTGCTAATTAGATCTTCAAACAAATAAGCAAAAAAAAAAAATCCTTAAAAAATAGCACATGAGCTGGCCAATGCTGCTCTTTCAGCATGTCCCCTTCACAGTGTTTATAGTTAGGGAACCTCACCACACTCAGGGTTCTCTCCAGAGCTGACCCCAAGGGCTTTGGCCCCCAATCCCTGCCGAGTAATGAAATGAGACTGTCACCGGCCTGGAAGACTTGGCTTGAGGGATGGAGAACCTGGTAAGGGGTGTGTTTCTTATCCTAACTGCTCTCTGCAGTTTCCTCCTGTGGTTTCTTATGGATTCCCTTTGTTTTGGTTACAGCCCCGGGGGCTATGGCTCCTGAAAACTCCCTCCAAGGGAGGATGCATACTTGAGCTCTGGAAACCGTGGAGAACAGGATTTGCGCCTGCAGATCTGGTGCTGTCCTGGTTCTCTTTCTCAGAATTTCTTTTCTCTTGAACCAGCGAGAGGTTTAAAAAAGGTGTTTTTTTTTTAAGATGCATAAAACCTTCCCAAGCACGAGCTGCACCAAGGGCAGGTCCCCCACCCCTGCGGGCAGGTGTAGGCTCCATTCAGCTGATGCTGGCCCTGGCCCATCCCCGACGGCTCGGTGTGCGGTGGCAGGAACCCACGTCTAGCCCTGAGCCTGGGCTTCCATGACAGAGCCCTCACTCTCATTTGCAAAGCCCAGATCACTTACTAGGAGGAAAACTTAATCAGGAAGTGTCCTCTGGTGGTGTGCACCCTGTCCCATCGCTCAGCAGTGGGCAGCTCTCTCCTGGAAGGCAGACGGAACTGTTCCACCTCGTCCAGTTGCTGTCATTTTGCACCTCCCCTCTCCCCTGAATTGGGCAGCCCTCTCTCAGCCAGGAAGGCCCTTTAGCATTGGGCTTCTAAAATCAGACTGAGGCTGAAAGGGTGGTTTTACTGAACAGTTGGCCAGGGGTGAGCACATGCCCTGGATCCCTGCTTTTGTTAGCAGTCAGATTTCTCCTCCATCTTCGTTGGCTGTTGTAAAATGCCCAGCCCTCTGCTTGCTGCAGTGCCAGGGTGGGGCGGGGCACGTACTTCTCACAAAGGTGTGTCTCTGAGGTGCTCTGTCTTTCATGTCCCTTGATGAAGGGGTTACTATGGTAACGTCCTCTGGGAAACATGCAGGAAGAAATGGAAGATAAGGTTTTTGTTCAGCTCTAGGTGGAGTGTAGATCTCTGGTCCTCTTTATTATCCTCAGTTGGCACAGCTTCCCTCCTGTCCCGCAGGGCTGAGTTCAAAGGTGAGCTTGAGTTTTGCAAAAAGGATCGGGTCCTGGATTTTCTGGGTCCTTGGTGAGGAAGGCAGCAGAATGACACCCTTGCCCAGCTCTTTACAAGGGGCTGAAACCCTCCTCATGCCGCTGCACGCATGTCTCCCAGCCACCCCGCTCCACTTGTTGTCACTCGCAGGTGGACCCAGTCTAGCAACCCTGAATCCACTGCTTCATTCGTGGTAACTGAGTTCAGGCCAGTGGACATTTTAGCCACAAAGTGAGAGTTCAGGGTGGGCGGGAGGGGGAAGCTTGTGGAAGTCTGGGGGAATTCCTGGACAGTTGATCTTCAGATCTCTCAGCCATGGGTGCTGCTTATAGGTCACTCCATTGCTTTATTTCCCTGTGTTGTCTACTTCCTGTACTCTACCCAAATCGAGGCCAAGCACACTGAGTTCTGGTGATCCCTCACATGCTCCAGGTCTGTGCGGTCATTGTCACCATCTCCCTGCACAAATAGAGCAGTGCTGCCAAAAATAAAAAGACCACATCCCTCCTCTCCTCCCCCCACCAACGGCCACTGTGCCTTTTCTTGGGGCAAGCCTTCCACTAACACTCCAGGCAGGAAGAGGAAACAGGCCCCTCTACTTTCCTGAGAAACCGTAATTTCAAACGATCTTCTTGCCAAAGGGGTGGGCTTGGGGCACCACTGTGAGTGTTTCTCTGCCTCTTTCAGAGGAGGCCAGGTAGAGCATTCTTAGCACTCTGCAGACACTGATGGGGGTGGGGGAGCGTAGGAGCCAGTCGAGTGGGCTGCCACTCCCACTGCAGCTGTCCCTCTGCAGCCTGCCTGCTGCACAGGCTCCCGCCCAGCAGCAGCTGTGACCAACCCTCCTTCCTGTGCCTTCACCCTCAGCTGTGCTTCTGCTCCCCCGCCCAGGCCATGGTCAGGACTGTAGCACTGCACATATGCCGCCTCCACCAGGGACGGGGGAGAATGTAGCTGGGCTGGATAGGCAGGCATTTCTGCATTCACGACTCCTGAGGCCTAGGGTCATTTAGGCATCCCAAGCACCCTTCTCTGCTTGGCTAAGGAAGGTCCACCTGTGCTGGGCATTGGCTCACACTGCCAGGAGCACTTGGAGGGAAGCTTCAGTGAAACTGCTAGGTGGGCCATTCCCCGCCCCCGGACAAGGACTCTGCTGAGGAACATGGGGAACAGCTCTGTTGAGACTAATAGGTGAGCATGGGAGACATACTGATGTTCTCCCCCTTTCCCTGGGCCTCCCTCTAGTCATTGTGACATGTGAAATCCAAGGTGAGGGGCTCTCACCAGGGAGCATCAAGCTGGCAGGTACCTCTGGTGTCCTGTGTTGTCAGTGCTGTCATTACTGATAAATGAATTCCTGCTGTGACAGGTGTGACTGATTTTTCACCCCCACCAACAGGCAAGTTTGCAGGAATAGCCAAGCAGCTCTTCAGCCTCACACACCAAGCAGTTTTGGCATTGGGTGCAGCTGTTAGTACCTCTTCACAACGAGTACCATGTAATATTGTGCATTTTAAATACGTGCTTTTCATGTAGCTGGAAATTTTCCCCTTAGTTATTTTATGATGTTTCCAAGTTGTGACTTGCCAGAGACATCTAGTGTTTCCAACATAACCTAAACTGCTGGAAGTTCTGTAGTGCCAGGAAGAGGTCAGACTCGAGTTGAGCCCAGAAGCGTGGGTTAGAAGGACACCATGACAGGACTGTGGCGTGGACAGCATTGCAAAGGTGGGGGGTGTCACGTGCACGTTGAGAGAGTCTCTGTTTCTCGTGAATAAATGAGGTGATGAGGTTGACAGTTTCCAAGAGAACTGTGCCACCAAGGAGGAGACCAGGGGCCTCCCTGATTCCCTCGTCTTTGGTGCTGTGGTGTCTTGTCTGGTGAGGGAGAGCCTGTTCCAGAAGGCAGGTAAGGAAACCCTAACCTAGCCAGCCACGGGTCGGGCTCAGATCCCTCTGGCTTTTTCTTTATTTTGAGCAATATCAAATCTATAGAATGCTGGAAGAGGAACACCCTTATATCCTCACCTGGATTTAACAGCTGTTAAAATTCCACCACCACTACTTTCCGCTATTGAATTTTTCAGAGTTATTTGAGAATTGTAGACATGAGGACATTTCACCCCTAAATAAACTACTACATGCACCCACCTCTTTCTTTTTAAACATATTTTTACAACATTGGCTTTGTAGAGTCCGATGTCGTAAAAATATGTCCAGTTCTGAGCCTGAGTGTGCAGGTGGTCATCGTGCACTCCTTGGACTGAGGCTGACTAAGCACCTGTCATATGCCACCTCCCCGTGAAGCCCTGTAAACCCACACGAGACCCATTGCTCAGTCCCATGCCTGCATGGTTCATCCTCGGGCCACACCATGGGCTCCTCAGGGTTGGTCCTGGTGACATCTGGAGGCTGACTGCAGGCAGCCCTGTGCTGGTGGAGAAGTTCAGATCTCAGCTCTGCCACTTCTTACCGAGGCACCTTTGGCTGATCTCTTCTCCTCTCATCCTCGGTGTCTTCATCTCCAGAACAAAGGGTTGGACCAGGGGTTTGATTCAATACCTCTGTGACTCGACTCAAAGTGTGCCACGCAGGCCACCTGCATCTTGCCTCTTGGGGCTGCTTCAGGAACCAATGCCTGTGCCATTCCCAGGACCATGACTGGGGGGCCAGGAGGATGCGGGTGGTCCTCTGATGCCCTAACACAGGGGTGTCAAGCTCATTTTCACCGGGGGCCACATCAGCCTCATGGTTGCCTTCAAAGGGCCAAATGTCATTTTAGGACTGTATAAATGTAACTACTCCTTAACTAGGGGCAAGGAGCTTGGCGCTGCCGCCGGGTAGAAACAGGGGGCTGGGCTGGAAAAACAAGGTGGAGGGCCGGGTTCAGCCCACGGGCCCTGTGTTTGCCACCTGTGCCCTAACTTGACCGTGTGCTCTTCCCCTCTGTTCCCTGCAGCGGAGATTCTGGAGCTGGCTGGCAATGCAGCGAGAGACAACAAGAAGGGGCGGGTCACTCCCCGGCACATCCTTCTGGCCGTGGCCAACGATGAGGAGCTGAATCAGGTAAGGGGCTCTTGTAGCTGCCCCACCCCAGGCTCCCAAGCAGCCAGTCATGCTGCGTGAGAGACAGCTGTCTGTGCAGGGGGTGTGGGTGTTTGGCTGGCTGGCAAAGGCATGGACTGCGTTGTGGACTGTTAGCAGCGTCCCTGCCCCCTCACAGCAGCTTCTCCTGAAGGCCTTAGTTGAGGGTGGGGGCAGGGATGAAACAAGGCATTTGGTGCTCCGTAGAGGAAAGAGATCATCAAAATTCCCTCCTGGGTGAGGGACTCTGAGGACTTGTTCCTGTGTAGTGAGCCTGGGTCCCATCTGCATCCTTGTAGATGCCATGGAGGGAGGCGCTCCACCAACCAAAATGGAAAGTCTGGGTGGGTGGGCAAGGCTGATGTCCTGAAGGTCAGAGGCAGGGTGGTCTGGCTCACCATTTGCTACTTTGCTTTTCCTGCAAGCTGCTAAAAGGAGTCACCATAGCCAGTGGCGGGGTGTTGCCAAACATCCACCCGGAGTTACTAGCAAAGAAACGAGGATCCAAAGGGAAACTGGAAGCCATCATCACACCGCCCCCAGCCAAAAAGGCCAAGTCTCCATCCCAGAAGAAGCCCGCATCTAAGAAGACAGGAGGCAAGAAGGGGGCTCGGAAATCCAAGGTACGTGATTTGGCAGGGGTGTGTGGGTGGGGCAGGACAGGGCAGACAGGTGGGTTGGGAGGGGCCCCTTCCTGCTGAGCGCTCATCCCACTGATGGGGTGCAGCACTATGGAGGGACATGTGGGAACCAGTTACAGAACCAGTTACAGGTCTGGTCCTGCTCAAGTGGCCAGAGTCTGGACACAGTTTGGGGACTGGATTCCTATAGGCAAGGGGAATGGGGGGGGGGGGCTCGGCGGATTGGGGTCAAAGGGCCTTGTGCCTGGCCTTTCAAGGGGACACCCACGTTTGTGGGAGGTGAGTGGTGTGCACAGGAGCTTCCCTGTGCTGTGGACAGCGACAGTTGAGTCCTGCCCAGAGGTGCCAGCTGGCCCCTTCCCCTGGCGCTCTCAGAACCGATATTGCGTTGTCATGGCTGAATGTCCTCCTGACCGTGTTCCGGCTGGAACAGTCCAAGACAGTTTGTTTTTTAGAATGATTCCCTCATTAAGGAGCAAAACAGGTGCATTATTCAGGCCCCTTCCTGCTAGACCCAACTTGGACTGAGACCAGGTCATGGGTGCTGATCTCTTTGTGGTGAGAGAAACCGTCTTGTTAGTGCGGCGTTCCTTCATCACTGGGCTCTGCCTCCAGCAGCCGTCACAGTGGGCTCCAGGGCCAGCAAACTAGGTCCAGTGCAGCAGAAACTCTGGGTGAGTGGGACTGCCTGGCGCTGCGGCGCCCCCTCCGGAGTCAGCCTTCCGGCCTCCAACCAGACTAGGGGACAGTCACCTCTGGCAGAAGGTGACCTCACTATTTTGTAAGCCCCTTGATAAGAACTCCTTGGAAATGACTCATCCGGTCTAATGATGGACATTCTTCCTCCCGGAGCCCCAAGCCTTTCACTGGAGTGAAATGGTGAGGGCATCTCCCAGGACGGCTGCAGGGGCCCTGACCCGGAGCCACACACACACCTGCTGCTGTCCCAGTGTGTCCCCTCATCTGATCCTGTCCAAAGATCAGGTCCCTGGTATGTCTGTGCCTCGGCCAGACTGGCTTTCACCACGTGGGGGCTCCTTCCCTGACCTCTAACCTCCCATCCACACTCTTGGCAGGTGTCCTGCAGTTGAGGTAGAAGAGGCTGTACTTCTTTGTGCATCCTGTGTACAAACATATGCTTCCTTGAAAACATCAGAGTCTAAATTCCTCTTTCCAACAGACCACCCGCCTCACTCCCCCCATCTCGCCCCACCCTGCCCCAGCTCTTTGAGAGAGAAACCTGATCTTGAAGAGCATCCGGTAAACCCACTTCCAGACGCTCGCACTCGACCTAGCTCACAAGTCCTGGAGGAGGCTGGGAGCCAGGCGGGGAATTCACAGAGTGCTCCGTTCTCATTCCTGCTAACTATAAAATTAGCAGACTGCATGGTTTCTTTTCCCCCTTTCAACATTAGCATTTGGGGGGAGGAGCAGGATGGGGAAGGCAGGGGAAAGTGCCTGTGTGCCCCCTTTCAGATGTTAAGAAGAAGAAGAAGGTGCGAAGTCCATCATCTTTTTGAGAACAGGCCCCAGGGAGCTGGTTGCCCACAGAGCCGGGGCCCTTGCTGCTGGGCGCTAGGCACCAGCAGGACAGAACCTCGACCCTCTGCCTGGCTGTCCTCCGCCTGTGGCCCAAGCCACAGCCCTCATTCCTGCAGGCGTGCTACTCGTCGGTGTTTGCGCAGCCCCCCAGCTGTAGTGTGTCCAGCAACCCCAGGCTGAGCCGTGCTCCCCACTGTCACTCCGATTCCTAGTAGTTTCACCCATGACTTTCTGAACTTTCCAACTGACCGAACACTAGGAAGGCTTTTTCTTTCTTTTTGGACTGGAAATGTAGCGGGGGCGTGTGTGTGTCTTTTTGCTCTTAGTAGCTATATTTGGAACCGTGTTTCTAATAACCACATGTCAATAATCGCTCGAACACTCCACTTTTCCCTTGATTACAAAAGCAGGAAGTCTGTTACGGTGGTCTGTTTTTCTTCCACACAATGAATCACATTGTCTGCTTACTGTACGAGTGTTTGGCTAACATTAAACCCTGGGGGAAGCTGAAATTGGAACCGTGAACAGCTAATTTTCAAAACATTTGTTTAATGTAAATTGTGGTATCAGCTCCCAGAAAGAGTGGAGAACCCTGCATCTCCAGGTTTAAGTGGAATGTTCTGAAAATAACCTTTCCAGCGACAGCCAGAGAGAGCCTTCGTAACACGCTAAAGTACTTGCAGTGGAAGGGAGTTGGTATTTTTCAAGTGTCAACACTCGAATTCCCAATCATAATTTTCCCCCCAATTCCATGTTGTGGGGAGTTTTTGAAAGTCTCCAGTTGTGACAGCTGAGTCAGCTACAGTGGAAATGCTGAGAGAGTGGGGAAGGTAGCAGAGCCCGCCGGAGGCTCGAGTCTGGAGCCCTGGCATCACCTTAGGGCTCCCACTTCCTACGTGGGTGGCCTCAGGCAAGTCTGTGCCTCGGTTTACACCCCCTCCAATAGAATGATGGGGTCCATCCCAGACTTAGAATTCAGTGACTCAATGAATATTCACATTATGTGTTTTTGACTAGGTAATAGGTGTAAGAATTTGGGTGGTGCAAGAGTATACAGTAATAAAATCTTACTCCCACCAGTCCACCCCATTTCCTCCCAGACAGGTTTCTATAATCAATTTTTATGTATCCTTTCAGAAAGGCTACGCATGTAAAAGCACATTAGATATGCAAACCCTGCCCCATTCCATCGAAACATGTTACCCACTGTTTTGGCAGCGTTCCACAGTGGCTAAGGATGCCAGCTCACCTGGCTTTGCATTCCAGTTCTGCCGTTTCCTGGCTAGGTGGCCTTGGGAAGAGACCTGACTTGGGAAATGACTCTCTGGTATCTAACTCAGTGTTCTTATCTGTAAAATGGGTGGTTGGTCGGCTTTGAGGAGAATTCACGTGAAGTGCTTACAGCAGTGTTGCCCAAATGTTAGCTGCTGCAGTTACGAACTTGGCAGTGCTTCGGTATCTGCACGTTGAGCCGCTTTAGTGTTTCCTGTGTGACTCTAGTTACTTACATAGTATGCAAGACCAGTGCACCCAGATCTGCATGCATGGGCTTCCGGTTGTTTCTGTCATTCGCTGTGGTGCATGGCACCACAGGGATGTCACTGCATGTGGGTCTCTGTGTTCACGTGCCAGAGTGTGTGTAGGATGAAGTCCTCAAGGTGAACTTGCTGAGGCAGACAGTGTATTTTTTAACTATGATGGCTATTGCTTACATATAGGGTATTTTATCCCATTAAGAAATTTCAAAAGCCCGCTCATTCTTTCAACTTGTAACACTGGGTTGGTGAAAGAAGATGCAGTCATGTGATTGGTACTGCTTCAGTCCACCTGTGCTCGTTGTCACAGTTCTCGGTAGTGGGGTGCAGCAGGGGGCTTTGGTCTCGTGGTGGGGCAGAGTCGCCAGAGAGGGCTGTGGGAGGAGAGCAGGCGCAAGGACAGAAATAAAGTGGAATGACAGCACGGGCAGTGTGATTGAACACGGGTGCTCAGGTGAGCCTTGTCGGTGAGGTGACACTTGAGTGGAGACCTGACAGAGGGAGCTGTCTGCCTCGCGCGTTCAGGTGCCTGGGAGGAGACAGGTCCGGGAAGAGGAGCAGCAAGGCCCCGAGGTGGGAGCACGCGTGGCTCCTTGCAGAGAGAACCAGACAGAATTTGCATGCAGGGTCCTTCACGTGTCTATAGTGGACGCCTTTTGCAGTCAGAGAGCCCAGGATCCTTCTCAAGATAAGGTTTCAATATGTAAAGTACCAGATTCAGAGGAAACCACTTTTTAAAAAAGGGAAAAAAATGTGGTTTTCCCTTTGATGAGAACTCTTAGGATCTACTCTCTTAACAGCTTTCATGTGTTCTGTACAGCAGTGTTAATTGCGGTCTTCATGTTCTACATTACAGATGTGTCACCCGCTGCCGCTTCTTGTTTCTGTACAGCACAAGGAGAGAAGGGGTTCACGGGGGTGTGAGGCCGAAACCATTGAGGACCCCATTTAAGTAAATACAAAGCTATAAATGTAAAATTAGATGTAGGGCCTTAGATGGGATCTGCACAACTTAAGGGACCTTTATCATTTTCACAGTAAATTCATTTCTGCAAGTGTGTGTATTTTGCTTTTTTGTTCTGACCTATCACTTAACACAGTGTTTGAGAGGTTCATCTAGGTTGCTGTAAGTAGCAGACAGCACCAAGTCCATACATTTCATTGTTTGAATTTACCACAATGTGCTTATTCTGTGGTTGAGAGAGATTTGTTTCCCGTTTGAGGCTCCTACTGCAAAAGAACAAGGCCTTCCGTGCGTACACGTTACATTGTGTTGAAAGTATGCCTTTGAGTGGGATTGTGATGTCTTGGGTATCTGTGTGTCAGCTTGAGGGAACAGAGCCACACAGTTTCCCAAGTGGCAGTGAAGTATGCCGTCCAGTGCGTCCAGTGCGGTGTATGGGAGTTCCGGTGTTACATTGTTGCCCAAGCAGGGTGCTTGGAGACTTCACTTTTAGCCATTCGGGTGGGTGTGTATTGTCCTGATGACTGAGTAGTTTTATCATGTTTTCAGGTAAATTTTGGTCCTTTGAATATTTTCTCTTGTATAAGTGTTCCATGCATTTTTTAAAAATTGGGTTATCTGTCCCTTCTAATGACTTACAGTTCTTTTTATATTATAGGTGAGTTCTTTTTCATTGACACATAATTGACACATAAGATTACATTTGTTTTAGGTGTACAACATAATGACTTGATATTTGTATATACAGCTGATACTTGAATAATGTTTTGTTATAACATTGAGAGATGCCTTGGGAACTGAATTCTTGATTATATATAGACTAGCCTATGGCAAAATTGTTCTCATGTCATTTCACAGCTTTCTCAGAACCTGTTGATGCCATTACATGAAGGTTTACTATATTGGGAAATGAGCCCATAAATCTAGTTACCATCCATCAC